GTTGATATGAATTTCCTATCAACACGTCTTTTCTAAAGTTCAACTATTTCTTCAACCGAATTTCATTACGCTTTATATAATGTTATTAAAGAAAGCCGATTTAAAGTATGACTCAATAATGTGGAGACTCTTGGGAATGAACCCATGATTTTCTACTCAGTAAGCAAAATCAGTCGCCACAATGCTACCGAGCTCCTCATTTCACAAAACAATTACAAAAAAGTTTCTGTTCAACTTGCTGTTACTAGATTTTGATCCTGTCGGCGACCTCACTGAAGACGATAACAATTACTCTTGAGAAGGATTTGTTATAAATTTCCGATCAACACGACTTTTCTAAGACTCAAATATTACTTCTTTTAAGTACTCGTTCCTCCAACCGAAGTTGGCTTTGTCTCATATTAAGAAACAAATCCATATTCAATCAAAATGTGTTGTTACTTCGTACGTGAAGTTTAAGGTTTTTGAGAGTTGGGAAGAAATGCCATACCAATACCAACATGAAGCTTTAGTGCGACAATCTACTAGCCAGAGAAAGTTCAGAAAAGGACAGATTGATAGTTACGCCAAATTGAACAGAAGTTGAAATTGAGCGAAGGGCCAGTAATGCGGCAATACTAATCAATGGATCAATGAGAAGGAGTCTACTCCAAGAGAGCGGAACTAATTTTGAGAATTATTAGTAAGATTGCTCAATTTCTGTCATCTATCTCAAAGTACTCCTAATGTTTTCAAGAAGGTGCCATCAATAAGAAGGAGAAATCAATTTTGAGCATTTTCGTTAGATTACTCAAGTTGCATTTTGGTTAAATTGGATTGCTTTACTCATTATATTACTTTATGGATCATTTGTCCTTTAGACTTATCGTACTTCGAGCATTTGTATTACAACCGACCTGAACTCTGGCGTTTTTAAAGGAAATTTGATGCTAGAATACCATAATTTGTTGTTTAAAATGTATTCTAATAGCAAACGAATAACTCTTTTAAGTGTTATTGTCTAAAAACGAAATATCTCGTTTCCCGAGCAGGAATGAACATCTCGATACATAAGAGACTGACATAAGAGGTAAAATACCAAAAAATAATTCCAAAAAAATGTTCTCACAATACCATTCCAATACCATATTATGATAATGCAATACCCAAACAATACCACACAGGCATTCCTTTGGTATCCAAATATCAATTTTTGTTATTTACAAAGTATTTTGCATGTATTTTTTTGGTATTATTCTTTGGTATTTTACGTCTTATGTCATGCTGGTTAAAATCAAATTTTGGTATCAGGTCAGAATTAGTTATTCATTGATTATTTTCTCTTGCTCGGGTTTTTTTATTATGGTATTTATTTGACATTTTGCAAAATATTTCGATAACTGAATAATATCAAAACAAAGTTTTATACCACAAGCATTTAAAAATAAGGTATCATACCACATTAAGATATTCATATGATCTTGCTCGGGTGTGAATTGCAATTATCACACAAGATAAAATCAATTTAATTTAAGCTTTTATAATAGGCAAAAAATGTTTGGCATGTTTACAACATTGTATAACATTGGAACATGATAGTAATTTTAAAACAAGTTTGGCTTCTCCTCTTTAATGAAGTATTGAAGTAACGTTTTTATGATACATTAGCTGCCTTTCTTGACGTAAGGGCACTATTGTTATCTGCAAGTCTTTTATCAGAGAAAACGAAAGAGTGGACCATATTGTTAATACAATATATTTGGAGTTAAGAAAGAACTCGCTTTGGAATTTTCCCTGTAACTTCCTTGGAATTTACCTAAGAAGTTTATAGTTTATACACCTCATAAATGTTACTCTGAACTTACATAGATATCTTCATCATATCTTCAGGAATTATTCTCTGAATCACATTGAGGCTTGAATATGAACGCTTATGGGAATTTTGTCTCGGAATCTACTTGAAACTCCTTAGATTTCCTTAAGATTTCTTCTTGAAATTCTCATTAAAAAATCCTAAGAAATTTCCTAAACTTTACCTGGAATCCTCCTCTCAATCCTAAATTTCCCTTTGAATCATGTTTGAATTTTGCTCAGAACTAACATGGGATTCACTTTGGAGAAAGTTTTAGAAAAACACTAGGAGCTGTGATTATAGAATGAATTTGGGGTCGTGACAAACATGGACCCTGATAGCCATGATACTGTCCTCCGAAAAATCCGGAACATCCGTAAAAGTCGTCAATCCACGAAACTGATCGTAGAGTTCTACGTTTTTTTTTTTTTAAGCATTTGAAATTTGGGCTCATGACATAAACATGGACACGGATGGCCATGGGGCCGTCCTCTGGTAGGTCCGGAACGACCGGAAAAGAGGTCAACCAATGAAACTGATCCTAGAGCTCCGCAGTTTTTTCAAAAACATTAGGAACTGTGATATAAGAACTGGATGTCATGGCATAAACATGTACCTGCATGACCATCTGGAAGATCTGGAACATCCGTAAAATGGTCAATCCATAAAACTAATTCATGAGTTCCAAGGTTTTTTTTTTCGAAAACACGCGGAACTGTGATATAAGAAATAATTTGGGGTCGTAACATAAACATGAACCCAAATGACCATGAAACCGTCTTCCGAATGACCCGTAAAAGTGGTGCATCGATGATACTGATACTAGAACTTCACGGTTTTCTCGAAAACACTTCGAACTGTGAAGTTTTCGAAAAAAAAAAATCCCGGTTTTTCTACAGTTTCATGTATGAAACACTTCACGGACGTTCCGGATCTTCCGAATGACAGTTTCATAGCCATTCGGGTCCATGTTTATGTCATGACACCAATTTTTTTCTTATAATACAGTTCCACGTGTCTTCGAAAAAAAAACTGTTGAGCTCAAGGATCAGTTTCGTGGATGGACCACTTTTATGGATGTTTTGGATCTTCCGGAGGATGGTCTCATGGCCATCCGGGACCATGTTTATTTCACGAACCTAAATTATTTCTTATATCACAGTTCCACGTGTTTTCGAAAAAAATCGCGGAGCTCTAGGGTCACTTTCTCTATGAAACTCCTTAGATATCCTTAAGAATTATTCTTGAAATTTATTTTTTATTTTTTTAAACTACCCTCATTATTGTGTTTCCTCTCCATCGAATTCTTTCCTGGATTGCATATAAGACGATTTTTAGATCATCAAAATGGCATTTTTTGACCGTTCAGAACCACTTTTAATTAGAACCATTAAAAGTGGTTCTGAAAGGTCAAAGAATGCCATTTGATGATCTAAAAATCGTTTAAAATACAATCCAGGAAAGAATTCCATGGAGAGGAACCACAGCTACATTTGACTGGGCCGTAGGTGTACATAATGCAAATTCCGGGTTTTGAATGCGTTTAGAATGTTTTTTTTTGATGCAAAGGAAGTGCAATAAATGCATTTTAGGCGATGTTTGAATCATCAAAATGGCATATAAACTCTGCTCAGAAACCTCTTCAGATGCACTTTAAAGTTCTAACAAAAATTCTCGTTAAAAAAAATCCTATACTTCACCTGGAATCATCCTCTCAACTCTAAATTTCCCTTCGAATCATGTTTGACTTTTACTCAGAACTAACATGGAATTCAGTTTGGAGATCTACTCATAATTCTCCTGTAATTCTTCACAGGTTGGAGCTTTAGTCAGAACTGCCATTGGAATTCATAGCCCCTCCTTCTTTTTCCTATTAATAATTTAGGAAGAGCTTTGAGTGGGTTGGTTTATATCCTTTAAATTCCGTTATAATTGCTCATCTTTTGACAGATACGCGTATTTCGTCTTCTTCTTGCACACTTCATCAGTGCCAAGTACTCAACACCACTTGAGTACTTGGAACTGATGAAGTCTGCAAGTAGTAGACGAAATACGCGTATCTGTCAAAAGATAAGCAATTATAACGGAATTTAAAGGAAATAAACCAACCCACTCAAAGCTCTTCATAAAGGGATTCCGTTAAAAGGTTCGACAAATTTAAAGGATTAATAATTTAGGTTTTGTCATACTCTTCTTGACAATTGTATAGTTATAATAGAACAACATTAAGAGTAATATAACATGAGCACAATGCGGTTTCCAAACAACAGGCTAAAGTTTTACTCGTAAATGAAAGGAACAGATTGAAAGGTATTTAAAAACAAGTGCTTTTTTTAACAGTTCCTGATTTCCCTTCGAAAATCGGTGTATCAAAACAGCAGTCACTTTTGATTCTGGTTTATACTAAATCCGGTAAATGGGATGTATACAATAAGGTACTTCATTTTGCATAAAAGAGTTAGATTTCTTATAGGCCACCCTCCAGATTGTTTAGTAACCCCAAAATGATGATGACGATCATGGTCCCACCACTTATCACTACATAGGTTTGAGCTGGACGATTTATATTTAGATAATTCAGTTTGAAATCTTAACCAACATAGGAAAAAAAACGAACTGGTGATAGTTACAATATTCAGTTGCTTCACAGCGATATAAATGAGAAAAAACTTAGACGTTCACCACCCTTTGGAAATATGAGTTTGCGTAAAAAATAGTAAAGATTAGTTAAGGTTTAGAGGCCATGTTAATGATTTGAAATTGGTATGGGACCTACTACGGAAGCGTTAAAAATTTCATTGGAAATAAATTGTGCAAATGCTGAAAATTCAATAATTTCCCATAGTAATTCACCAAAATATCCCTATAAACTTCAAACTATTTGCGTGACCTCTAAACCTTCATCAATCGTTATAATTTTTTGTCTAGTCTCATATTTTGGGGATATAAATCAAACTAAGAAATCTAACACTTTTTTTTCAAAATGATGCACGCTAGAATACAATTATACATCCATAGATGACTGAAGATATGAACCAGCCTCTGGCTTAAAGTCTCGCTAATAAAGATAACCTTACCTAACCTTAGATGACTGATGACATTCTTAATACTATAAATCCTATCGCTTACTCGTGCAGCTAAGTAACATAATCCCGTAGAAAATGCTCACCTTGTTATCGCAATCGATGAATGGCCTAAAAAGAGAAATAGAAAGAATATTTATTAGTGAATTTGCAATTTCACAGCTGCTGGAATGTATGCATCATCACTCAACAAATTAAAATCCTCGATAAAACACATTAATACGACACACAACGCTTCACATTAACAATCCATCATGAAAAATAGCCATTCCCAACCAACGAACCATACACCCAAGAGCAACCAACTTCCAACCGACGGCGATAAACACAGACAGCGAGGTGAAGATCGTTCTACCCGATAAGTTGCCGGCTGGTCTAAGGCGATTATCACTAGTTCTGACGTGTCAGTCGAGGGCACAGTCTTTTCCCTCCCGGGGCCACTCGCTCCACTCGGATCGGACGCACAAAGTCAGTGGTGGTGGAAGCTAATCTGAACCTATTAGATAGGGATTTTCTTTCGTTCCCCTCTTCCATGCATTTCAGTCCAATCCATATCCGCGAGTGTGGCAATTCGATCAAGGTTAGATTGAGGTTGAGATTCCCGGCAAGAGAACGTAACTTTAAATGAACGAGGTCGTTCTTCCACCGCTCCAGCGCCAGCGGAACATCAGATTAATGGAACATTTCTAGCTCAAACAGGAAATGGAGCCATTTAAGACACCTGGGAAAATGCAGAATGAGTTTTGAATTCACTTTTGTGTTTTTATTTTTATTTTAAGTTAGATTATTTACAAACAAGCGGAGATATGAGGAACAGCCAACGAACTGCACTGTTGCATGGTAGCAGACAAAATAGTTGGATAAGCTTGCAGTCAGCAAAACACTTAACACGTTGCTAATTGTTTTATGTTTTATTTCAACTAAACATGCAACTTTTGTTTCCTCTATTTGACGGATAAGTGCACTCCGCAGTTAAGTGTGCCTCTGAGTTTGGTCATAAAACAGGTGGCTCCTGGAAGCGGATGCATTTTATGTCATTTTATTAAGCTGCAACATCGCATCAGAGGGATTGAGTTGCCACTGATCCAGTCAGCTATACCGGATATGATACTTTTTATTACGTAATAGTGAGCTTGCACAAAGTAGGTAGGTAGATAATAAGTTCACAGTTACGAACAGCTTCATTTATAGCTTCAATGAATTGATCATTTATGATTATTTTTCTCGATTCGTTGAATCCAAATTTGATAAATAAGTATATGCAAAGTGCACTGAGCAGTCCAAGTACCTGAGCTCATGTGTGCCTATTTTTTTTTGCATATACTTTCCTAGTCACAACTTGCAAAGTCTAAACTGGCTACTTCTCTAGGAGTTTCCGGGATTGACTGGATGTGGCCAGCGTGATCCTGGCTATTCCTTATAATTGCCATTGAACAGATTGTTGAATTTGAATGTAATTAAATGGTTTTTGACCATATTCAAAAACTGGCCACTTCTCCGGGGGATCGAAACAAGGCCAGGTGTGGCCAATGTGGCACTAGGCCCCCCAAATGACTACCATTAAATTAGTTTTTGAATTCTAATGTGATTTGTGGTGTCACATGATAAGTTTTATTCGTTTGAGGTCGCAATTAGCCTCATGCCTCATATAAACCGCAGCATGTTCCGGTCAAATTTCCGGAACCGGTTGACCGATTCCAAAAAATATGTGCTCTATGTGACCACAATACCTTTCATTTAGCGACTGTTGATTGGTTTATGATACTCGGTCCTGCGGGTTCTTAAGCATACAAATGGTACTTTATATAATAGGTCCAACCATGATTCATTTTTCGGTCCCACCATGATTCAAATTCATTGCTGAATAAAAACGTTCAATAAAATCCTATTAAAGAACATAATGGATAATTATTAGAAACTAGAATGGTAGACTTTTTCACCAAACATACATTTTTCATGTCCATTATGCATAGGAAAAATCCATTACCCTACACTAGGGCAAGTTGAAACGCGTGGAGTAGTTGAAACGGTAGATGTATCTCTTAGTGGAAGTGAATAAACACTGAAATTATTTATAATATAGTGGTTTGGAGTAGCATATAATGCCTCTCAAAAATAATTACAGTGAATATTCATTTTTGCTAAGAGATACACGTAAGGTTTCAACTTACCCCGGTGTACCTTAACTATGATGCTTACTATCAAAACATTGAACAGGTGGAGAACCTGTATACAAGCTTTTGCTCTGACTTTGAAATTCAAGAACTGATTCCCCCTAATTTCAATAAAGGAGGTAGTCCACTCTGGCGGCATGAAAAATAGGTCATTTTCACGAATTTTGTATGAGGGTAAATAACGATCAATCCAAAAAAGGAATGCATGGTTTTGTCAATTGAAATGTCCTCTTTAATTGAAATTTTTTTTTTGCGTGATTGGATGTCTCCTGTAGCCGCTGCACCAGGTTCCCCAGGAGACCTCTCGTCTGAGTCGTCGCGGGGCGGGACGTCTGGTGGTCACACCAAAGATGAATACTAAGATGAAACTGTAGGAAGAATTTTTTTCTATTTTAGTGTCCTCTTTCACGGTCCCTTTCATCCAATGAATACCACCCGTATTCAAGGTAATTTTGTGGTTTTGCTGCCCCCTCGGCAGAGATGAAATGTTGCGCTCATTTTTATCAAAACAAACACACCAAAATTAGAGGTGTCCCATTTTTTAATTACTCGATTAACAACTAATCGATTTTTTTTTTGTTCGCTGTGCTGCCATATTTCCACCAATGAGAGTGCAGCACATGTTTGAAACGATCGGTGATGATCCTGTGGAGAAGTTAATGCTTATATCGGCATGATATAACCGATTACAAATATTTTACTTTTCGGTTCATTAATCGATTAATCGATTATTCGAATGAAAATCGGCCATCACTAGATGAATGTGAAACGTCATTTCAAATATATGGACCGTACATAAATAATGATACAATTTGAAAGGGACCGGGGCTCATCACAAATTACGTCCACACGGTAACTGAAATAAACACGAGTGTTCACCGGTTGGTCACACCACTGGAGCTGGAACAACGAATTTTTTGTGGGTAGTCTCTGATAGATGACCCAGTCTTGTACGTAGCCGTTTTTGATTTGGTTGATAAATAAAAATTTGGCGACGTTTTGAAAAAAAAAAAACAGTCCGTTTTTGTACCCTAAAATTGGAGATAAAAGCTTGCACCAAAACTACATTTTTGATTCTTTTGAAAATCGGCTACGTACAAGACTAGAAAAAAGGTACTTAACTCGAAAATTCAATCGCCGTTTAAATCAAATGAGCCGTTTCTAAAATACAGCGCCCGCCAATTTTGAAAACATTTTTTAGAGATTATCGCGTTTGAATACTAAAAGGCCACCCACAATAGTCCGTCACCGTCACCGTCACCGTCAGCGTCAACTGACAGCTTGGTTTGAGCCAACGCTATTCAGTTTAGCAACCCACAAAGATGCGTTGCGCTCACTGCGCACCAGTACTAAAACGCTGACGCTGTGCTAAACTTTGAAAATTTTCAAAATTGACGCAGCGTCATGTTGCTGTTTTGTCACATCAGCGTAATCAGAAGCGTATTTTGTGCCGTGTTGCTTTGAACACATCATGGAAAACATTGTTAGTAGGAATATGCATTTGTAAGAAGGGCCAACCCCAATTTCCAAACAAATGTCAGTGATTTTTTTTCAATAAAATACAACTAGTGAAATAGCTTTGTAGACAATTTAAACTATTGCAATGTTTTTTTTTATATTCTTTAACAATATTGTGTGAATACATGTTTGGCCAACATATTTCGGTTAACGTATGCAGATCATGTCGCATTGTTGCCTCTCTGAAGGGCCGCAGAGTTAATACATCTCAGAGGATCAACTAATGTACGCCATTCACTCGGCCATTCACCAAGGTCACTGACGTTTCCATCACCATCCCTCCTGACTCTGAAGTTGTCTTGAATTGGAGGTAGGTCAACATCTGGATATGGCCGGAGCAAGTTATTCTTAAAAGAAAATGCAGCCCCCACAACAATGAAATACGGCATCACTTCATTTGAGCCTGGCAACTTGCCCGTTGCTTGCAAATCCAACTCGCCATTCACCAATCGCCTCCCAAATTCAGAATGTTCGGACTTATTTTTTAAATATGAAATCTTCTGCCAAAACAAATGATTAAAACGAGATTATACTACTGTCAAAACGCAATGCGTGACGCATGATTGTGCGCAAGCGCTGCGTCAATGCGTCCGTCAGCCTTTTTAGTACATGACAGATGCGTTGACGCTGAAGGGCCGAACCCAATGGGGGCGGAAGCGGAACGGCAACGGAAAGTGGAATTGTCGCGGCATGTACTAAAAATTTACCGCCGCGGTTAACGCGTCATCAACACGCAATGATAGCTTTGGCGGGAGAACGGTTTCTGTTTGACGTTTGTTTTTCTCAGTAATTTTGAGTATACATTTTTAACTGCTTCCACAAGATATGGCTTCGAATATTCTCCAGGTGCTGAAAACAATCCAACGCGTACGGGATATCCGGAACGTACATCAGCATTACCAGCAAACGAATCATCGACGCTGGTGGGTACGACCCTCGAACCAGACGAGGGCTACAGAAGGCTTTTATGAGTTTTTCCGCTGATGAGGGAACGAGATCCGGAATATTTTGTTCGGTGCACGAGAATGTCTCCAGCAACATTCAACATTCTGCTAGGTCGGATCAAACACCGAATTGAAAAGTTTTCTATCCGGAAACCTGTCAATCCGGAATGTCGACTGTTTTTAACGCTCATGTAAGTTTATATATTTAACACGGCATAAAAACGGGGATTGGAAAGAGTTGAGAAATAAGAATAATGTTCAATAAGTCAACATCGGTTATTCAGAAATTCAGCTACACAGTAATTGAGTGTTTAAGGGATTATTTCCGGATAAAAAGATGCAGTTGTCTTTTTGCCAAGTAATGACCATATGTTGGTATATACATCAAAAACACTCCTTCTTTTTTATGACTTCGTACTTAACTTTAACGTACTTGTTTTATATTAATTTGGTAATATTTTTGACTAGGTATTTGGCGCATGGTTCCAGCATTTTTCAAATGTCCCGGCTTTTCCGACTAGGAGTCACTACGGTCCGGAAAATAACTCAAGAGGTGACAGCCGTACTCTGGGATGAGCTGAAGGAGGAGTATATGCCTGAGGTAGAAGAACAAAAGTGGGCACAGTACAGTAGCGAATTTGAGGACCGCTGGAATTTTCCACATTGTTGTGCCGCTGTTGATGGCAAGCACGTTACGATAACGTGTCCGCCGAATTCTGGTTCTCTGTTCTACAACTATAAAAAGCAATATTCGGTGGTGCTTATGGCCATGTGTGACGTCAACTATAATTTTATTGCCGTTGATATAGGAGCATATGGTGGTAACGCTGACGGAAGCGTATTTGCCAACAGCGCGTTTGGTTTCCGACTACTGCATGGAGGTTTGGGACTGCCACAACCGGATGCATTGCCCAATGGAGAAGTTATCCCTTACTTTATTGTGGGTGATGCTGCGTTCCCATTGAAGGCAAATTTGATGCGCCCATACCCTGGCAGGAACCTGGAACCGTTAAAAGAAAATTTTAACTTCAGGCTCTCAAGAGCACGCAGGACAATTGAGAACGCATTCGGAATTCTGGTCGCTCGCTGGAGGATTTTATTAGCGCCATTGCATCTACATCCCAAAGCAGCTGAAAACATTGTTAAATCCACCGTTGTGCTCCATAATTTCATTAAAAGATACGAGGGACAGCAATATGCATCGCCGTCTTTTGTTGATCATGTTGATCAGAATGGGGAAATCATAGCTCCTGGTGAGTGGCGTTCGCAAGCTGATCCTCTTGGAGGAATTAATGCCGACTGCATCCAGCGTGGCAATAATGCATCTAGAAATGCAATCCATGTGCGAGATGTTTTGGCGCAATATCTACATGATCATCAAATTCGTTAAATTAAATAAATATACTGTTGAATATTATTGTTACAAAACCGAATACCGAACTATACACTTTTTGTTTTTCTGGACCTTGTTCTCACCACGTCATATACAACGAAGGAATCACTTACAGTAGTCTTATTGTTTACCCTGGGATACTTTCAGGAGCCAGTATTGGCCAGTTTTACGTGAAATATTCATATATTGGGCAATCGAGGTTGGGTTTGTTTTCGTCCATTATTTTCCCTATTATCGTCAGACGGGAAAATAAAATCCTCTGAAGCCCTTTGTAGTTAAATTAACTGCTCTGAGTATCGTTGATATATCGCGTATTTGTGTAAATTGATGTTTTTTTTTTTGCGTCTTATCATTGTTATTAATTATGCTTATGTTAATTGTCGTTAACTATGCTCATAGAATTCATTAGATCAAAATTGCTGATAGCTTAGAACTGGCTGATCAGTTCGCTATCAATCATTTGTACTCCTTTGCTGAGCCGTTCCTGGTTTGTTGGAAGGCATCATCAACGAGTCAACAAGTTTCACCGACCGAGTATAGATATTTCCGTTGAAGTGGAGCTGAACGAGGATGATATGGAGTGGAAACATAAATTTTGAACTGAAAAACATGGAAAATAAGGTTAAGCACGTATGGAGGATACTTGTCTGATTAAAGGTGTCGTTTTGGAACAAACTTGTCTCACTGGAAGATGTCGGAACGACGACAAACTTACCTCCTTACCTTAGTAAATCTATTGTTTTTTCATTGTTTTTTCAATAGTTACTCAGCTGGATTCTCAAGAATACATAAGGATCAGAATAATGAGCACACGGAGAAGCTTAAATAAGTACTAACAATTTAATGGTAGATTGACGAATCAAAAAGTTGTGGATCACCTGTGCTACTATAGGAAGGAAAGGGAAACGGTCCTAACAATTCTATGTGATAACCCTTGGTAAGGTCACGGAAACTAAGCAAGTAATCAACTCGCACTACAATAAAATTCAAAGTTCGCATGGTGCTACGCAAAACTACGATTTTTACATTAGGGTAAGTGAGCAAGTTATGGCACATTCCCATAAACGCAATGGTACCAGTTGTTGGCTTTGTACCCATTTAAATCACTGGTACATGCCAAAAACTAAGCAAATTTTAAGTAATACCATAACTGGTGCCTTTCTCCTATATATTTTTTTAAAGTTCTGCTGTTTGAAGTAACCTTTTTAAAAACTGTATTTTTTAAATACAACTGCTCTTCAGAAGTTTTGCTCAGCTGTAGTCAAAACCTAGATCTTTCAGCGTAGTTCAGAGATGTTAGTTGAATTTTTTGGTGATATCTCCACCGCGGCATGTATTGCTGTTGTTGTCATGACCATCACAGCCACTGTGATGCAGTCAATGATCTGCCTGATCATTACGATCACTAAACCGACCTCCACGTTCATCTCCGCCGTTTCATATTTCAATCAGCTCCTTGATCATTCTTTTTTTTTATCTTCAATATGTGCTCTGAAACCATATACAATATACCTAGGCAAGCTTGCATCCCGATTCACCTTGATTATTCTTGTTGTCCCTTTCCAATAAAACGCTAATTGCTTACATAGAAATTAATACCTCAGCCTGTTCGGTTCCATGTTCGGTCTGTCACTGCAACAGTACAGTATCTATAGTCCTGATCCGTCATGAATGATAAACATCTTAGTCGTAGCTGTTGACCACTTCTGGACGCTCTATAATAAAAACATACATTAGGTTGGGTCCAGTTTGTATGGCAGATCACAACCCCCTGCTATTTCGATCTGTATTGAGGTCCTAGGTTGTATCGTTGTATTACGTATTCGCTGATGGATCTAGTCCGGCTTCAGACATGTCTGCCAATACATACATAGTACCTAGAATATTGCAAATCGATGCCCAGTAATCCTAGTAGCTAATAGCAAACCAATGAAAACAAAAGAAACAGCAAGTTCAACACTATGCAACAAAACAACTAAACTGTTCTCCTATATACGATCTATACTCACTCTACATGTAAAAATCCGAATATCGTAAACGGACAGTTGCTTTTCACACATGTTTTTCAGAATCTTGGTAGTTCCTTCAATTACTCCTTCGTTATAAAAGCGCGAAATCAACCGCTGGTATGTGATGCAATTCAGTTCGATGCCCTTCGCCATTAGATTGAAGTTGGAAATTTCCATAGCCTTATTCAAGTTGTTGGGGGGTTTCCAAAGCACCGTTAGTTCCTCCGGAACTAGACCTACCTACAAATAAACAAAAACGAATAATCACGATTATCACTTTCCCATCCGGCTACTAAGCATCGAACGCAATGCAATCAGGAATCAAAAATCTTACCTGATGGAACTTCCACACGAACACCGTGAATTTTTAACGAATCTTCCCTATAATGATTCTTGCAGCAAAGATGGAATTGGCACCGAATCCAGTCAACAATTCCATCGTCTCCCGATTACTACCACGAAGTTTCTTCCAGTGAAATACAAGTTGCAAACATTTCACTGTATCATCCTGCCATCAACACTGCATATTCGTATGTATCTCTAGGTTAAAGTTGTGCCGGAAGCTTTCCTCGAGCAACCTACATTCTGTCAAGTGTACGACGATTACTAGCACTGAAAGATTGAATAAAATTAGGGATTTAAAGGAACTAGGTATTATACTTACGCTTTCGTAGCATTTCCTCTTGGTTCATCCAAATACTCATCTGCTGCAGATCTTTCGAACGCCATTCAAATTTGGTGCGATGATCATCCAGGGTAAGACCTTTTGGCACCCTGAAAGGCGACGCTCGGTTTTGACGGTGGCAGTGATTGGAATCGTAGCTGTTTCAACTGTGATAACGAAAGGTGATGTTTTGATTTTGTAATACAAGGTTAAGTTTGATTCACTGACGGCACTGGTTACAGAAAACCGGCAGTGGTGCTAGATTCCGGTTATCGTTATTTTTAGACTATTATCATCGAATTCAGTTTATTTTTTTGCAAGTTTAAATCTATTCAATTTGTAGATCGAGTATGGAATTTACGCGACAGGTGAATTCCACCTCCAAATCGCGGGCAACACTCAGGGGCAGCATCTCCAGACGTGATGTTAAATACTGAGCGAATGCCTCATGGCGCCTGCCATTAGCTCCTAGTGGAACAGACACCATGTCCTCAACTTTGTCAAGGATCGTATTGATCCGGACGTCGATAGGATTCACCTTCCTTCTCTTCGGCTGTCTTTCTTCAATTTCCGTTTCGTTTCCCTCTTGGGTTGACCAAGCTTCCTCAACGAAACTTTCTTCGACGTTCGGCTCCGAACTGGATGGTACATCTTCTGTTGGCGAAGGATGGATTTCCGGGATGCGATAATTACCAGTCGTACTGAAAAAACGTAATAAATTATTATATTTCCAAAATTACTTCAAATGCAGATAACTTACGACCGAAATTCACAGTGGCGCTCTAGGAAACTCAGTTCATCATATAGCAACCACTTGCAAGCATACATTTCATCGCTGCCTGCTCCGGACGCAGATGTCTTGGATACCTTGCGGTTTTCCTTGACGAATCTGTCACGAATATTTTTCCACTTTCTTTTTGCTTCAGTTTCTACAAGTTAAAAATACAAAAAAATAAACTAAAGAAAACTAGGCACATAGAGATTACTGTTTTACTCACCACTAATATCCATTTCATTAGCCACATCTCGCCAAGCTTTGTCCTTTTTCCCGGCGTTCCGAAACTCTTTACTTGCTTTTGCGTAAATCACCGGATATTTTTTCACGCAATTCACCAATTTAAAATTGAAATCCTCCAATATAAAGGAAGCACTTTCAACTTCACTGCCCGAAAGATCCATTTTTTTATTTAATCTTCTTTTCCGGCCTTGCCGGTTGCCGCTAGCGCTTGTTTTGATAGTTTTTAAAAAAAACCGCGGTTTAGTACAATTCCGCTTTTGCCGTTCCGCCTTCATTGTGAGCTATCTTATCCACTTGCATGCAACCAAAAATTATATTTGCCGCCGCTTGCCGTTGCCGTTCCGCTTCCGCCCCCATTGGGTTCGACGGTGACGGTGACGGTGACGCACTATTGTGGGTGGCCCTTAAGACTACTAAGACACGCCGTTTCGCCGGTAACGGGCGGGTACTCCGAGCGCGCTTGGAGCGTCTGGACACGAGTCCACTAATCGGCCTATAACTTTGGAACGATGTCACTTGCGGACTTGCGGTCAAGTCTATGTCAAAGTAGACATACCAAAGTATTTTTTAAGCCAAAAAAAAAAAGATTTTTTGAAATTTCCAGAGTGGTCTATCCCCTTAATGTTGTACTAAACACCTACTAATTGGAAACCAGACGTTTGATTTGAGAATAAAAGTTACAGTATTCTATGTTGCATCATTCTACGAACACGCTGTAAACTACATAATGATGATGCATGATAATTTTATGTTAGGGTTGTCCTCCAAATTGGAGAACAAATTGGAAAGAACGATTTTCAATTGGTTCACTACTTGACTAGCCTATTGGTCCCAAGCAAATCGATCAACGTACTCCATCCTAGTCGATATTCTAGTACTACACTATGTTTGTTTTGATTCGCTACAAAGGTTAAAAGATAAAATGAGGGGCTCGTGGATTTTCCCATGTTTCGAGGGGTGCATCGATTAGGTTGGGACCGAAGAAAGTACCAGAGCTGAGCCAAAAAGTTGAGCAATTTCTTCGGGACCTTCTAATCTTAGAGTTACCTCTATGGTTATACCCCCATCCTCCCCTGCTTTGCTGACATATGAACCAACATTTTTTTTTCAATATTGAAAGTACCGTCTTCTGATTCTTTTGATGACTGCCTGTTGCGTTATCATAAAATTCAACCTTCTCTGCTACGGAGAACTAATTTAAAATTAATGATGGAGCTTCTGAAAAAAATTAACGTGCTTTTGGCAATTGTTTTATCTCACAAAATGCATGGAGTCTTTTTGAACTATACTGGGGTGCTACTCCAAT